TACATGATGGAACAGTTCAGGCACTGCTGTGACCCTGGCTAAGGTGCGGCTGGTCAGAAGTACAGGTTAAATTTGGGGAATAAAGTGCTACACTGAAACATCTTCTGTCTGTTAAATCTTCAACCAGGTGACACAACAAGAGTCTGTGAGAATAGGTGAGATGTGGCCATTAGTCATCAACTTTCCCCTCTCCCCCACAACATTTCCAAGTTCAGAAAGGATTGTCCCCTATAAAGTCAGAAAGGTAAGGAATGACTATGAAGAATTCATTAACAAAACTTATTTTTAATTATGTTTGTGAATATGTACTGCCTTGAAAGTAATACCTAACATTTTATGGCTGTAAAAACAAACACACCAAAGAGCTTGACAAGAATCTGAGAGGGTGTTAGCCATTCATAACCCCACTACACAAGGGAATAGGACAAGCTGACCAAAAAGCCTTGCTGCATGAGACTATAAGGCAGTAACATGCCATTTGCCTGGTCTAAGATGAAAGCACGAGGACAGCAAGTAGCAGTACACGAAAAATCTGCTGCTCTTAGTAGGATGACCTGCTGGGACTGCAGCTAAACATCCTACAAGGAGGTAGTGGGAATAGGGGAGAAATACTCTTCATACCCAATGGGAGAGAAATTTTGATGACAAGAGAGGAGAGAGAGAGCAGTGGAAAAGTGCTGTAGTAGTAGAGAAGTTAAGTGGAGAGAAGTAGCTCTACAGAAAGGACTGAAATGAAGGACACTAAGAAAAATGTACCATTCATGTAAGTTAGCAACTACACTCTGAAGACTATCCATGACACTGGATGTTGTAAACTAGAAATATCACTTTCAACTTGTTAATGTTATATAACAGGGAACAGGTGAAAGGGACAAAAAGATGAATTTGCAGGAGGCTGAAAGAAAAATCCTCAAGGAGAGGTGAACTCAGAAGAGGCAAACTCAGAAGAGGCAGAGAGAGCCATGCTATGCAATAGCACCTCCCTGTCACCAAGGCTGTGCAATGGAAGCAGCAGGTGAGCCCCTCTGTATGCAGGGGGAGCCAGCTCTGGTTACTACTCTGCATGACCAGCTCCATTTGCCCAGGCTGCTAACTAATCGTCATTTGCAGGATGAATAGGAAGTGCTCTTGGATGAGTATGATGGCCTGATCTCCACAAACTGTGAACGGAGCTGTATCTGCTGGTCATTTATTTTGTCCATTCCTATCGCAAACTTGATCCTACTGCACTTTCTGTGGAAATGTGGCTCTGATCCCTGCATCAGGTGCTTTCGTTTCTCAGAATTGTTGCGTTTTAACCCAGGAGATAGTGAAGCATCATGTAGTTCCCCCCCTTTCCCCCAAGGGATAAGAGAGAGAATGGGAAAAAAGTACCAAGTAGAACTCATGAGTTTAGATAAAAACTGTTTTCTAAGATGTGGAAAAGGAAGAGGGAGATATTTACATATAATATTTATATACATTTGCTGTAACTGATGTATAAGCAGTTGTTTACCACCCATTGACCAATGCACAGCTTGTCCCTGATCAACAGAAGTCTGACTGATAAACTCCCCTCTTTTAACCTCTCCTTTCACATGTCATGTGCTATGGAATATCCCTTTGGCCAGTATAGGTCAGATGTAGGAATGATTACATACAGTATTATGTAGTTATTTTAACTGAGGCAGAGTTCTTCTTAAACTAAAAGACTGATAAGTGAACATAAATATTCTAGAATAATTTCATGAATGAAAGAACTAAGAACAGCATTTAATGCAAGCTAGATGTAACAAAATTACTAATAACACTATTCAGTATACCAATCAAGAAAGAAGTGGAATGATCGTGATAGAGTGCAAACTTATTCTGTAGCAATGGAGAAAGACATCAGGAGTACCTATTGTCAATACTGGAAGAACTTATCTAAGAAAGAGTGAGATTATGGTTCTAAACTCAGCAAAAAGCCAAGAAGCAAGACACTGCCGAAAAACCTGAGACTCTCCATTGTTTCCAGAGGTTCTTCCAGAGTAATTTAAAACTGCTGTCTTATAGACATCTGAATTAATTTTACATCTGTGTGATGGCTACAGAGCCTGGCTCCAGCTGAGCAAATCTGATGCCTGTATCTTGTCTCCATGTGAGGCATTGACTTAATTTCTCAGAAAGAGGGTGAGAGCATTTTACACATTTTAGGATATAAAACTGGTGGGGAAAAAAAAAGTCACAGAACTATGTGTTGTGAAACTTTAAGAAAAATCTACCATGAATAGATATATTCAATCGAGATAATACTCAAGAGTACTTAAAAATTGACTGAGGAGATACCTGTTCCCCTGATGTTTACTTTTAATAAATCTCCAGACAAGAAAACTCCAGCAGCTTGAAAAAATGTTAATCTTCCATATTCAATAGCTGGTAAGCCTTGTAACAGTTCTAAACAAAAACAGAAATGCTGGTATAAAATTTCACTGATTAGGAGTTCAGCAATAGCAACAAAATTAACATCAGCCAAGATGGTTTTACATAAATTAGATCTAGTCAAATAAACCTGTTTGATTAGATAATAAATTTGGCTCAAAATATAGATGTACAGATGCCATATAGTCAGGCCATGATATATTTATTACATTGTGGTCCTGAATTCCAATTACCATTACATAATATCAATTAATTACACATAAAAAATTAAGAACTAACCCAAAGATGAATCTCAAAGGATTATTTGTCAACTGGGATTGAGCACCAAATCTCTCTTCCCAGTGGAGCTCTATAGAGATTAGTTTATTCAGCATTCTGCTTGTTGGAGTATTCTAAGTAATGGTCCAAGAATAAACAAAAAAAAAAATCACTGGTAAATCTGATGGATGACATACCTATTGGAACAATGACTTCTGAAAGACGATAAACGAGGAAACTCGATTGATATAGTATTTCTAAGTAAAATGGACCCACATACCATCAGTTTCAACAGAACAAAACGAGAAGCAAGATGTTTTCTATAAAGCAGTACAGGAAAATTACATATAAGGAAGGGCCATATAATGAAAATCAAGATTCCAAGGAGAATTTAAAAGCTTTAGTGGACAAGCAACTTGATGTTTCTTGTCAGTGAGGCATCATGGCAAAAAGACTAATAGGAAAAGCAGAAACAAGGCAGTGAATGTTTCACTGTTATTAGATTTAAAGAGATGCAATACTGAAATTCATTCACAATGAGAATGCCTCCACTTTTTAAAAATGGTGAAGCAAGATGTAGTTTGCTCAAAATTCATGGAATTTCCACAAAACCTCTTTGAATTACAATACACTAGGCTTTCTTAATGAGGCCTAAATGCTCATAAGACAAGCCAGAGATGTAAGTTAGTAAGAAAGTAGTTCCATTTTAATGGGAAGCAAGCATCAGATTCTAACAATTTCCTTAATTTAGTAGGTTAAAATGTTTGACCTATTAGAGTCAGTGCATAAAACCTGAAACCAGATAAATTCAAGTGAGAAACAAGCCAAAATATTTTGTAGCTGGTATTGAAGTAGTAGTTACAGATGCATTTTAAGTGGGAATATTCTTACTACTGGCCACTTCTTGAGCCAGTTCTATGTAGCTTTCTTCCCTTTTTCTCTTCTCATTTAATTTAAGTGGTGAAGTGTTCTGTCTGAATATCTGTTTATTTTTGTCTGCATTAAACTAATAGAAAATAATTAACTGGAAAGCCAAATAAAAACTAGTATTTGAAATAAATTACTACAATTCAAGTGCAAACATTGGAGTTAATGCATTAAACTTCTAAATGAAAAAGTAGTTTTAAACATATTGCAAAACAGCTGCATAGAAATTTCATACAGAATAAAGCAAGGAAGTGAATACTTGGCAGAAAATTGGGGATCAGAAGAAGATAAAGATGTATATATTTTTATTAACTTATGTTAAAAGCAAAACTATTTTTATGTCTTCCACTTTTTTTTTTTAAAGAAAATAAAGGTGAGCAGAGGAACCTTGTTTTCCAGCTCCACTCCATATACACTTACAGTCTCCCTCTCTCTAACAAATACAGTCCTATTGCTAAACTTAACTTCATCTGCAATATGAGATTTAAACCTAAACATAAAGTGAGCATGGGAATGGCCTCCAAACCAGCAGCTGCTCACACAAATATCTCTACATCCACAGTTCCTTTTAGGAATTAGTTTTCCAGTTCCACCACATCTATGGATCAGAATTGTCTCTTTTTTAAATGGCCATCCTAAACTAATGCTCAATCAAAACATTCAAAAGCAAAGTCTGTACAGTGTGGTACATAGTCACTCCTAAATACCTGCATACTCCTGAGAAAAAGCTAGGCTTATAGCTTATAACCTTAGTTATAGATTTAAGAGACTTTTTCAACTTTTTTGAGAACTACAAACACCCTTAGGGAGCAGGGGAGGGAACACCCTTCAATTTATTACTGCATTACTTGGAGAATACAATCAAGATTTTAGACATACTGTGACAGCCTGTATAATCAATGGATATTAAGATATTATAATCACAAAATAAACAGGAGAGTTGGGCAAAGTAGACTATGATAACAAAAGAGAATAAATGGAAGGCTTACCCTTATGCTGGGCTCACCCACAAAACACCAGAAGGAGGGATCTCCAGAAGAGATCCTTCCCCCCTGGTAGCCAGCTCTTGAATAGGTCTAGGAGAGGTGGAGCCAGGCTCCACCCCTTCCGGCAGCACAGGTGAATTGCCTTCACCTGTGTTCCTCTGGCTGACTCTTGGCTCACCTCAGGTGATCAATCAGAGGTTCAGGCTGTGACTCAGCAGTTCCCATACACAGCCTTTTTCCATTCTTCAAAGCAGCAGTTACAGAATTACATCATCCTCATATCCCATGAGAATTTAATCCCAGAAGTATCAGATGAGGGGAAGGACTTAACTACCTCTGAGCAGGTTAAGTATGCTCTGTGAATGGTATTGGTCATAAGCTAGTAATAATAATAATAACAATAATAAGCAAAAAAACCCCACAACTTACCCAGTTCCCTAAGGTAGGGGCTTGCTAAAAATTCCCATAGGGCAGCAATCTCTAAGTAGAGATGCTTCCTTCTCAGCTAACAGCCCTTAAATGAGGCTAGGGAAGGGGGAATTCTGCATCCATTCATTCCGGTTGTGAAAGTGAATTGCTTGCACCTGTGCTCCCAGGGATGACTCCATCTCTTCACCAGATGCCCAATCACTGGTTCAGGCCATGACCTATCTGTTCCCATACACCAGATGAGAAATCCATGATGAAAGGTTGATCGTGACTTTGTTAAAAAAAGTAATCAGAAGAAGAAACTATTCATCACAATATCATCATATCTGCTAGCATGTTGTAGTATTGGGTAGGTAATCTACATTCTGGTGTTTACTAGTTAAAATCTAGAAATCTTCTTAACCTATAGCAAGAAAACTTGTTCTGAAAAATTTGTGCTGTGTTTCTTTGCCTAAAGATTACTATTAAGATAGATTGGGTAGAGGTTAGATAATCTTCTGATAACATATGTTTAAACTGAATCTTCTTACCAGAGTATTCCAGATTCACTCTTCAGCTTGGAAAGCTCCCACACATTTCATATGTAATTTCTGCTCAGAATGAGTTCATTCATCTCAAGACTTGTGTGATGAGAGAAATCAGATGTTTGAGAAACTGAAGCCGGTAGTCCAGTGTGCCTTCTCTGGCAATTGAATGAGGTGTAATTATAAAGAATTGTATCAGTTTTCTTTAAAATAGAATTATTTGCTTTACAACTTTTCCTGGAGAAGTAGAAACCAAGAATGAGGGTAAGTCTGAGCTTAATTGGCTACCAGTTGTTGTCTGCTTCAGGATGAACTGTATCACTCTTCATGCCCTGACACACACAAAGATCAGAGGAACCATTCAACTGCCAGCTGAAATGTCCTAAAGCATTTGATACGGAAATAATAAAATGACATAGAGTTTAAAGGATTTTCAAGTCTTTATGGCATAGAAGTAGGATGTTTGCTTTGATACCCTGAAATTCTCCATTGGTGTTAGCTTAGTACGTTTAAGAAACTGAGCTGAGCCCTATGTCTCCATTAACTCCACTAATTTAAGGCCAGTCACTTACTGCGTGTGTAGGTACGTACCAAAATCCACCTATGTTTAGGAGTTTTAATTTGGAAACAAATTCCAATTGAAATCACTGTTAGCAATAAATCTACAGGTGGTTTAGATTAAAAATGTAAAAGGTGAAACATTCTTGAGAAATAAAATTTCCTTCAATAAGTCCATAAATATTTTATGCAAGTAATCAGAAGTTTGACTGATATATATATATACATACAAACATAATTACCACCACCTATGAATTCTTTTCACAGTCTTGATAAAAATAAAGTAGTAGTTATATCACCATCTTAAACAACGCTGTTGAAGAGAATAATTTGGAAAGCATTACTTGAGAGCACTGCAGCTGCTAAAAAAATAAACACAGCATAAAACGCAATTATTGTAAATATTTAAGGTTGAGTCTTAACTATGGAGACATATGGGGCATCCAGATACTACAGATACAATACTTGTGACTTTCAGTAAGCCTGTTGGCTTACTGATTCAAAACAAATTGATTACATCTGTCACCTGTGAAATAATAGAAGTCTACTTGAAAAGCACTGAGATTGTTTACAGATCTACAATTGAAAAATGTAGACACACTTTGAAGAAATGTTAAAATAATGTCCAGTTACTTTTGTGCATGCAAATATTTTGACACCAAAAATGAACACTTTTCTGAACATGTTAGTTACAAGAACACTTCACTGAGTATGTGGAAAACATTTTTTCTTTGATTTTGTTGTCATTCCAGAAAAGATCCAAGATTAAGTGCAGTGAAAAATAGATTTTGAATTTATATATATGGATAAGACAAATTTTAACAGTAAAAGGAACAGCATAATATTTGAAGAATCCACTCCAGATTCAAATTCTTTAGAAATAAAAGTAAAAATTCCTGTAATTGTTGTTTTGATTTAAGGTCATAATGAACAAAAATAAACGTATCTCCTAACATTAAAAAACAGAAGAGGCAGAAGCATTGAGATTTATGCCCAGAGAAGGGGGGTAGCCAATGTAGTTCTTGAGAAAAATGTTGTTATCATAACTACTAAGTACAGTATGTACACAAAAGCAAGATGATTTGGGATGACACATTTGTGGAAGTAGCACTTATGAGATATCATTACTCATGTCAGCTGTATTATTATTAAAATCTTAGCTTGGATGATTTTGTAAAACATTATTGAATAACGTTTAATACTCTGGCAGCTTTGGAAAAGAAAGAAATCACCTAACGTCTATTTTCTAGTAATTTAAGAATACCAGCAGAAGAAACAGATGGTAAAATAGCTCAATATCCTTTGGAATATCTTCTATTAGCATTAAAATACACACCTGCTGGAATGTACGATCTTACTTTAAATGTAGAAAAGCATTAATAGAAACGTACAGCAGTGTGGTTATATCTCTTAATTGGTATACCCTAGTGAAAACAAACATGCTAATTAACTGTTCATCCTGATTATAAAAGTCTGATAGGAATACACAGTGCTGGGAGACATTAATTTTTATTATAGCAATTGCTTTAGAAATAATCATTGTAAGATGCTTGAAATATTTAAATTATATAAAAGTAAGTGACTTATTACAAAGCATAGAATGAGTGCAAATTTAAGAGCATCACAGCAGAGAAATTAGTGAGACACAACAAAGTTTTCAACATCAAATTACTCTATACAGAATTGTGGACAATGCCAAATAGTCACTGCTTGACATGTTTTGCTATCTTTTTATCCATTAGACAGTGAAGCTGATTACAATCAGTCTGTTTCCTGAACTTATTTGGTTTAAGGCTCTGCTTTAGTGGAAGCACAAATATACAAGTTGATTTCCAAATTCTTGTTCAATGATCCTATTTCAGCATTGTTATTCTGTTTTTTATTTCAAATTTTTGCTTTTGCTCCTTGGAGGATAACATTCAGTGAAATTTGCTGTGATGTTCAAGCATAATCCAGTCACACTGAAAAAATTTCTTCCATTTAAAAAGATGAGTGCTGTCACATTCAAGGTAGCTGGTGGCGACAGCAGAATGAGAGCATCATTACAGCTTCTAGACCATCGCTTTTCAAGAAAGCAGATTCCAACAAGAAGACTGTTTGTATCTTTGACATCTGACCTACTTGTGACTTCAGAGAAAGAGAGAGAAAGAAAAAAATTCCTTCGGACAGAGAGATTGGTTGACAGAAGCTAAAATGCTAAGTATTTTTTCAAGGAAAGGGTTTTTCTTGGAACTAAAGACCCTTTTCTGCAGCCAAATCCATTGAGGGAGGTCTAACACCAACGAATATATCTCTTGACTAAAGTGTGTACTTTGATCCGAAACACAAAATGAAACAGCATTTGTCCGCTTCGTTCAATGGCATTTCTCGACATACTGAATGGATGGAAGAAGTCTATAGGAAATAACAAATGCCATCACATGAGCATATATCTTAGATCTCAGGAAAGAAGATAGAACATACTTCATCAGACTTCACATGATGGATTAGCAACTGTGTTTGGAGATACACTTATACTTGGAAGGAAAATTAAAAATAGTCAAATTGTATAGTTATGGCTAATTTTTTATTAAAAACTCATTACATCCCGTATCTTATTTAAAGTTGAATATACTACCACAAATTCAATCTTAAACTCACGTAGAACCAAGACTAGCAATATTTATCGTCTGCAATAAAAAGAAAAGACCAGGAGCTAGCACAACATAACATTTCTGATAATGGTTTTATTCCTTACTGTAAATAGAGTAATATAGGTACAGTTCTGCTTAGCTTCTCTGTTATGTGTCAACAAATAAAAAGAATGTATTTATATTCAATTCCTTACAAAGACTTAGGGTTAACCTTTACAGTCATGAATAATAGCATTTCTCATTGGATGGCATAAAATACACCCTTTTCTTTTTTTCAGGTTAAATGAATAGTAAAGCTCTAAGAATTCCAACACTTGTTTGGCAGACCAGATCAAGTCCCTCTCTAGCTTCATTCTGACCTTTATAACTGTGTGCCTCACCGTGATGTTTTGCTGAGCTGTAGAGAATCCTCCAGTACAGACTGAGCTTTGGGAAATCTGCTGGAATCTTTATTTTTAAAACTTCAATTGTAATTTACCATAAAATAAGTTTTGAGTACTTATGTTTCTATTAAATACTGCTGATATCTCTATTCAGTTTAAGATAAAGGCAATAGATGAAAAGACAAATAGAATCATACAGTTTGGCCAGAGGGAATGGTGTAGAGAACGTAAGGTACAGTATGTACCTAATATATGAGGCTGCAGGGATGTAGATTACACTCAACTTGAGTAGAACTGTAAAAGAGGTCTGAGAAAACATAGTTTTTGAATCCAAAGGGAGTTAGGTAATTAAAATGCAGAACAGAAAACAACTCTCCCTTCTACCCTTGTTTGCAACAGCGTACAAAATCTGAACAAGTCCAAAATATCTTTGAGGATTCTTTTGTGAACATTAACTCTACCAATTATCAAATTTTTGTATGTTTTCCTGAAAAGATTCAGAACACTGAGTGACTGGATTCCATCAGTAATTAAAGTTGTTGGTGTGGGTCCAAAGCAGGGCCATGAAGATGATCAATCATATTCTGTGTTGCATCAAGAGAATTGTGACCAGCAAGTAGAGGAAGGTGATTCTGCCCCTCTACACTGCTCTCATGAGACCCCACCTGGAATACTGCATCCAGTTCTGGGGCCCCCAACACAAGGACAACTTCAAGATGTTGGAATGAGTACAGAAGAGGGCCACAAAGAGGGCTGGAGAACCTCCTCTACAAGGACAGGCTGAGAGCCAGGGCTCTTTGGCCAAGAGGAGGCTCCAAAAAGATTTAATCGCAACCATCCAGTACCTGAAGGAGGCCTACAGGAAACCTGGACAGGGACTTATTACAGTGTTGTGTGACATCAGAACAAGGGGCAATGGCAGGGTAGCTTTAGACAAAATATTAGGAAGAAATTC